TCTTCATGCGTTTGACACCTATGTGACCAAGGCGGCAGTGCCACAAGTATGTGGGACTATCATTATCAACCTTACATCTTTTGGTACTCACACTATGAATATGTGTAGCATTACGCTCGAGATTCATTAAGAATAAACCATTCACCATCGGATCATGACCATAAAACATATCTCTCATATAAATAGAACAACCATTATTCTCGGATTTAAATAAGTAGCCATCTCGAATTAAACGAGATCCTGATACAATGTTCATGCTCAAAGCCGGCACTAAATAACAATTATTGAGGTTTAAAACTAATCCCGTAGGTAAATGTAGAGGTAGTGTGCCGACGGCAATCACATCGACCTTGGAACCATTCCCGACGCGCATCGTCATCTCGTCCTTCGCCAGTCTCCGCTTATTTCGCAGCTCCTATTTTGAGTTACAAATGTGAGCAACCGCACCGGTATCAAATACCCAGGAGCTACTACGAGTACTGGTAAGGTACACATCAATTACATGTATATCACATATACCTTTCGTGATGCCGGCCTTCTTGTCCGCTAAGTATTTGGGGCAGTTCCGCTTCCAGTGACCACTTCCCTTGCAATAAAAACACTCAGTCTCGGGCTTGGGTCCATTCTTTGGCTTCTTCTCGGCAGCTTGCTTGCCGGGCGCGGCAACTCCTTGCCGTTCTTTTTGAAGTTCTTCTTACCCTTGCCTTTCTTGAACTTAGTGGTTTTATTCACCATTAACACTTGATGTTCCTTTTTGACTTCTACCTCTGCTGATTTCAGCATTGCAAATACTTCAGGAATGGTCTTTTCCATCCCCTGCATATTGAAGTTCATCACAAAGCTCTTGTAGCTCGGTGGAAGCGACTGAAGGATTCTGTCAATGACCGCGTCATCCGGGAGATTAACTCCCAGCTGAGTCAAGCGGTTATGTAACCCAGACATATGAGTATGTGCTCACTGACAGAACTGTTTTCCTCCATCTTACAGCTAAAGAACTTGTCGGAGACTTCATATCTCTCGACCCGGGCATGAGCTTGAAAAACCATTTTCAGCTCTTCGAACATCTCATATGCTCCGTGTCTCTCAAAACGCTTTTGGAGCCCCGGCTCTAAGCTGTAAAGCATGCCGCACTGAACGAGGGAGTAATCATCGGTACGTGTCTGCCAAGCGTTCATAATGTCTTGTTCTGCAGGGAGAGCAGGTGCTTCACCTAGCGGTGCTTGTAGGACATAATCTTTCTATGAGGATGATCCTCAGGTTCCGGACCCAGTCCGTATAGTTGCTGCCATCGTCTTTCAGCTTGGTTTTCTCTAGGAACGCGTTGAAGTTGAGGACAACGTTGGCCATTTGATCTACAATACATGTTGTAAAGATTTTAGACTAAGTTCATGATAATTAAGTTCATCTAAATCAAATTATTCAATGAACTCCCACTCAGATAGACATCCCTCCAGTCATCGAAGTATAACATGATCCGAGTTAACTAGGCCGTGTCCGATCATCAGTGAGACGGACTAGTCAACATCGGTGAACATCTTCATGTTGATCGTATCTTCTATACGACTCATGCTCAACCTTTCGGTCTTCTGTGTTTCGAGGCCATGTCTGTACATGCTAGGCTCGTCAAGTCAACCTAAGTGTTTGCATGTGTAAATCTGTCTTACACCCGTTGTATGTGAACATTGAAATCTATCACACCCGATCATCACGTGGTGCTTCGAAACAACGAACTGTCGCAACGGTGCACAGTTAGGGGGAACACTTTCTTGAAATTATTATGAGGGATCATCTTATTTACTACCGTCATTCTAAGTAAACATGATGCAAAAAACATGATAAACATCACATGCAATCAAATAATAATAGTGACATGATATGGCCAATATCACATAGCTCCTTTGATCTCCATCTTGGGGCGCCATGATCATCTTGTCACCGGCATGACACCATGATCTCCATCATCATGATCTTCATCATCGTGTCTCCATGAAGTTGCTCGCCAACTATTACTTCTACTACTATGGCTAACACGTTTAGCAATAAAGTAAAGTAATTTACATGGCGTTTCTCAATGACACGCAGGTCATACAAAAAATAAAGACAACTCCTATGGCTCCTGCCGGTTGTCATACTCATCGACATGCAAGTCGTGATTCCTATTACAATAGCATGAACATCTCATACATCACATATATATCATTCATCATTCATCACAACTTTGGCCATATCACATCACAAAACACTTGCTGCAAAAACAAGTTAGACGTCCTCTAATTGTTGTTGCAAGTTTTACGTGGCTGCAATAGGGTTCTAGCAAGAACATTTTCTAACCTACGTGAAAGCCACAACGTGATTTGTCAACTTCTATTTACCCTTCATAAGGACCCTTTTCATCGAATCCGCTCCAACTAAGGTGGGAGAGACAGACACCCGCCAGCCACCTTATGCAACTAGTGCATGTCAGTCAGTGGAATCGGTCTCACGTAAGCGTACATGTAAGGTTGGTCCGGGCCGCTTCATCCCACAATACTGCTGAAGCAAAATAAGACTAGTAGCGGCAAGAAAGTTGACAACATCTACGCCCACAACAAATTGTGTTCTACTCGTGCAAAGAGAACTACGCATAGACCTAGCTCATGATGCCACTGTTGGGGAATGTTGCAGAAAACAAAAATTTTCCTACGGTTTCACCAAGATACATCTATGAGTTCATCTAGCAACGAGTGATCGGATTGCATCTACATACCTTTGTAGATCACGCGCGGAAGCGTTCAAAGAACGGGGATGAGGAATTCGTACTCGACATGATCCAAATCACCGGAGATCCTAGCGCCGAACGGACGGCACCTCCGTGTTCAACACACGTACGGTCAGCGTGACGTCTCCTCCTTCTTGATCCAGCAAGGGGGGAGGAGAGGTTGATGAAGATCCAGCAGCACGACGGCGTGGTGGTGGATGCAGCAGTCACCGCAGCAGGGCTTCGCCGTTCTTCTGCGAGTGGGAAAGGTGTAGTAGGGGAGAGGGAGGCGCCAAGACTCAAAGGTGCGGCTGCCCCTCCCTCCCCCTTTATATAGGCCCCTAGGGGGTGCGCTGGCCCTAGGAGATGGGAACTCCTAGGGGGGCGGCGACCAAGGGGTGGAGTGCCCCCCAAGCCAGGTGGGGCGCCCCCCCACCCTAGGGTTCCCAACCCTAGGCGCATGGGGTGGGCCAAGGGGGCGCACCAGCCCACTATGGGCTGGTTCCCCTCCCTACTTTAGCCCATGGGGCCCTCCGGGATGGGTCGCCCCACCCGGTGGACCCCCGGGACCCTTCCGGTGGTCCCGGTACAATACCGGTGACCCCGAAACTCTCCCGATGGCCGAAACTGCACTTCTTATATATAATTCTTCACCTCCGTACCATTCTGGAACTCCTCGTGATGTCCGGGATCTCATCCGGGACTCCAAACAACTTTCGGGTTACTGCATATTCATATCTCTACAACCCTAGCGTCACCGAACCTTAAGTGTGTAGACCCTACGGGTTTGGGAGACATGTAGACATGACCGAGACGGCTCTCCGGTCAATAACCAACAGCGGGATCTGGATACCCATGTTGGCTCCCACATGCTCCTCGATGATCTCATCGGATGAACCACGAAGTCGAGGATTCAAGCAACCCCGTATACAATTTCCTTTGTCAATCGGTACGTTACTTGCCCGAGATTCGATCGTCGGTATCCCAATACCTCGTTCAAACTCGTTACCGGCAAGTCACTTTACTCGTACCGTAATGCATGATCCCGTGACCAGACACTTGGTCACTTTGAGCTCATTATGATGATGCATTACCGAGTGGGCCCAGAGATACCTCTCCGTTATACGGAGTGACAAATCCCAGTCTTGATCCGTGTCAACCCAACAGACACTTTCGGAGATACCCGTAGTATACCTTTATAGTCACCCAGTTACGTTGTGACGTTTGATACACCCAAAGCACTCCTACGGCATCCGGGAGTTATACGATCTCATGGTCTAAGGAAAAGATACTTGACATTGGAAAAACTCTAGCAAACGAACTATACGATCTTGTGCTATGTTTAGGATTGGGTCTTGTCCATCACATCATTCTCCTAATGATGTGATCTCGTTATCAATGACATCCAATGTCCATAGTCAGAAAACCATGACTATCTGTTGATCAACGAGCTAGTCAACTAGAGGCTTACTGGGGACATGTTGGTGTCTATGTATTCACACATGTATTATGATTTCCGGATAACACAATTATAGCATGAATAAAAGACAATTATCATGAACAAGGAAATATAATAATAATCCTTTTATTATTGCCTCTAGGGCATATTTCCAACACCATCTGCCCAACCGCAATCAACACCGTTGAGATGAGGAGACTCGAGAAAACGTTATTGACCAGATCAACACCATCGCCACCAACCTACTAAAAGCCACAAGCAGATCGGGGCCTCCCTGCACTCCATTCAAGTCAATGGAGGAGGGAAATGACGACCTACAAACGGAGGAGGGGGTGTGGCGGCGCAGTGTGCGCATAAAATCTCAATGCATTTTAATAATGTAAAATGTGTGAAATGAGATAAAAAAATATTTGCGTCGAAGTAAGGCAGTAGAGCGTATATATGAAGGGATTATGACACCAAGCAGGTTTCTAGGTGGCCGATCCTATCAGTTTATGAGCAACAAAAACAACGACTCCATGTCGATCGAGAGAGAGAAAACGAAAGGAAAACCAAAAGTAAACGCAAAAGCCACCTTCCGTGATCCGGATCCATTCCGGCAGAACCCCCCGCCCGGGTGGTAACTCGACCGTTAGTTCCAAACCCTCCGTCCAACATAAAAGGACTTCACCACGCAACGCAAGGCCGCCGATCGCTTCGCTCGCTCACTCACGGAAGCCAAACACTTTGCCTCCGGCCGGCCGCCAGGTTACCTCCGGTCTGGCCAGTTCCTCCCGTAGGCCAATAGCAAGAAACCCCGCAACAATGCCTCACCACCACGGCGCGCTCCCCGACGAGGAGGCCCCGTCGCCGCGGCCCTCCGCCGCCGGCTGCTACACCTTCCTCCGCTCGGCCGCCTCCCGCCGCGGCCACGGCCACGGATACCGGCGCCTCGAGTCGGCGTCCGTCGACGTGGTGAGGGTGGAGGTGGGCACGACGGCAAAGGCGAGGAGCGTGTTCCACGTGGACCCGGCAGTACTGGAGGCCGAGCCAGTGCGCCGGCTGCTGGCCGCGGCTGGGCGCCGGACCGCTGGCGGCGCGGTGGCGGTGGCCGTGGACGCGCTGCTGTTCGAGCACCTGCTCTGGCTGGCCGCCACCGACGGCGCGGCCGCCGACGACCTGTCGGAGATCGTGGAGTTCTACTCGGAGGAGGAGGAGGACGAGGAGCACCACGACGACGGCCACGGGTTCAAGCTCAAGCGCTAGTTCATTAAGCTTCTCCAAAGCTATGAACTCGATCCGTTTACCAGCGATGATCCTCATCGTATTACGCACGTACGCGTACACCATAGCATGTACTACTACCCCGTGTAGTAATTCGATCGTCCACTAGTACGTGCACTAATTAAGCTGCTAGCCAGGGATGCATGATCCACATATGTGTCTTTGACTCTGTGTCTGTGGATCGATTCAACTGGATGCAGGTTCATAGCGCGGAAGAGCGTGGAACCTGGTTAATTACTTTATGTAAGCTTATTACTGAAGTTAAATAATAATCTGATGATGGAGGAAACATTTCTTTAGAACACACACAGGATGAACACTTGGGTGGTGCTATGTTACCGGCCGCAGATTCTCTTGCGAGCCAACTACTTTTGGCTCGCGACGGATTTCTGAGCACGATCGACTCGCCGTGGCGAGTTGTTCGACCGGACGTGGCAGCTACCCTGAGGCGTAACCTGCGTAGCTGGTCATCGGTGCTGTGGACGGTCTCAATGTCAATGATCAATGTGGCAGGCAGGAGGCCACATGGATGATGGGCAGACCGTGTCGGCCGGCCAGCCGGAGCACCCCAAATGCCAAGGTGCCCCGCCCACTAGCACGGCGCTCCGTCGCCGGTAGTCTCCCCGGCCGGCCGGCTAGCCGACGCGCGCGCGGGGGCAACTTGTTGGGGGGTCGATGTCGTCGAGGCGTGTATCAGTGATGGATTGGATCAGCTGCCTAGGGCCCAATCAAATCAAATCAAACAGAATGCAGGCGATGTACTTAAAGCGAGACGAGATGTGACAGCCGCCGGACATGCGACGAGGTCGCTGCCTGATTGCCTGAATATGTCAAGCCTCAAGCCTGCCCTGCGTGCATGATCTTCCACGGAACGTGCATTACATATGCAGCAGGCCTCGTCGCCATCCCTTCGCCTCTACGGATCAGCCACGGCTATATACAGCTTACTTACCCAACACCTACCATGCGATGCCGATGCGCGAGCTAGAATCCAACACGCCATGCCAAAAGGGTCGAGGCTCACGACACGATCCACGGCCGGCGCCTCGGTTGAGCTGAGCACCGGGAGTCGTTGGCTCGCCTCCATCCCAAGTTCAACTCGTGTCACCTCACCTCTCGCACCGGAGCCACTCACAGAGCGATGCGCTCGACGTGAACTGCCATGGCTTCCCCGGGGACTTAATTTGCTGCTACGTGAAAGGAACCCGGCACCCGAGAGTACAGGCCCTACCGGCATCGGCATGGCGAGCGATCTGATTTCGTCAGCACCAAACCGCCGCATGGTGGTGTCACTACCATCTGAGCTTGGCATCTTCTGTCGACTGTGTTAGTACCACTTGGAACGGCACCACTGATCATAACACTCTACTATCTTCGCCTTTACCTTCTCCGTCTCTCCGCATTTGCCAAACACTAGTTCGCCTGAAAATGGAATCGGCGTCGATCAGTTTCCACGAGCTAGAGACGGGACGGTGCGGCCTGCCACACGGCGTTCAACCAGAGGCGGCGAAGCCAGCCACGGGTGGAGGTGAAGGTGAACGGGAGTCAGGCCGGCGGGTAAACATCAGAGGACGAGGAGGATGGAGACCGAGGAATCGACTGAAATGATTTTTCTGTCAGGCAACTGACGAATAGCCAGCTAGTCTCATACTGTACTTGTCTGCAAAGAGGTGTGTTTCATCCCCAACAGGTAATAGAACTTTCACTTCGAGATGGCAAAAAACTAAAGAACCATACAAAACAGGATTTCTTCTTTTTTTTCCCCATTCCTTTCATGTTTTCTGTTTCTGAAACATGCAACAGACCGGACCTGAATTCTCATCCAGATTACATGCATCTCAATAATTGGCACACGATGAATACCATCAAAGCTGATTGACATGTGATTAATCAGACAGAAACTATACACTAGAAGCCAAATGTGGGGTTGAAGGTCATAGTCATGCCCAAAGATTCAGTTACATAAATAATTGGATACATACAGAAGTGTGACTGATTTGCGAATACACTATCTGCACAGCGACGTAATTAAACTGCAGCTTTCCACAAGAAGGAACCTTCAGAGACTCGCAAGTACCCCGGCTATACCCGTACAGAAACACGCGCACTATATCAACTGTAGGAACAACCGAAAAAACAACAAGGAACGCGACATCTTCAGCGTCTTCTACGGTGCCGAATGGCTTCCACCAAGACGTGAAAAAAGAGACGAACCGGGAGTGCTGGAATACCTTCATCATCTTACAAGAAGTTAGATGGCCCCTGTGAACTGACCATCACGAGGAGAGTGGAAGAGCATCGGATATCCCGCTGAATCGCTGGAGTTCTATACACTTCAATGAGCTCGAAGCTAGTCTCGCAATGGCCTCGCTTCGAACCCCCCTTCCTTGCGGCTCACTAGGTCGTAGGCCATGTGGGTTCCTAGGATTCTGTCCCATATTGAGAAGAACGGCTGAGAGTAATTGTACTTTGTGCCTTGGAGCTGATGGTGAATATCATGGTACGCCGTGTTATTTTGGAACAAGTGCTGGAAGATGTTATATGGCAACCAAAGTCCACAGTGATCATCAACCGTCTTGAGTACCGCAAAACAGAAGAAGAATACGGCGGTCCTTGGCGTCATACCGGAGACCAAGAAGGACATAGCACCACCTAAAGTGTCCAATAGGAGCCCCTCCAGTGGGTGGTTGTAGAGAGCCCCGATAGCGTAAGGAACGATCAGCCGGTGATGTTGTGAGTGGATATGTCGGTAAAGGAATTTGTTCTGATGCATGTAGCGGTGCACGAAATACTGCCATGTGTCCATCACCAGCATTGCAACCAAGAACTGAAACGACTGAACCACCATAGATGGCTGGACTAGAACCGTTGAATTATCTGAAGTAATCTGCAAATAATGCCACAGGATCAGGTTAGATAGGTTAAACGATGAATTATTTGTCCATTAAGAAAATTGAAAACAAACGACAATTGTTGAAAGTTCTCATCAACCTGACAGATGCAACATAAACAGACCAGCACAAGCATACAGCCGTTCTATTGTTGGCACCATCGACAAACAATTGCCTTGCTTTTCTTTGTGATTAGAAATCTTCAGGACAGTACAGATAACTAAAATGAGTGAATTTACGAAGCCTGCCTGAATCTTTAGGATAATATCAATGCTGCAGCTTTATTTTCAGCAATTTCAAGCCATCAACCAACTTTGCTTTTAATTCTGCAAGCATGCAATGTTTATAAGAAATGGTCCATTCATTCGTTGGATGCAGGTAAAATCGTCCAGAATGAAATAACCATTCTGAACAGATTACATACAAAAGGGCTGATGTGCTGATGTGTTACTGCTAGGACTTTACAAACTGCTGTTCTCACTTGATGAATAATGTGAACTTTAGTGAATTAGGACACTGAAGAGTAATGCTCATTCTGAGAAATTATGGACTGTTGTCCCACATTGGATAAATATGACATCTTTTAGGAGAAAGTGATTAGCCGCACTCATTGGTCAATGGATAGGTTATCTGTTCCACTATGTAAGACAATATTACATGACACTGTGGCTGGATAGAAGCCAGAATGAGCAGAGCTTTTCAGAGCCAACTGTTTTGAAAACAGAGGTGTTGAATCAGGGGAAGCCAGTCGATGGATAAGTCAACACCTCTATTTGAAAAGTTAACTAGTTAGCCAACATAGAGCAAAGGTCAGACAATTTCTCCAAAAGTGATAAGTATAAAGTTATCATTCTGGCTACCACTTATAAAGTTATCATAAGTGGTAGGTATTTAAGCAATCATAATTCAACTACAGACAATTTCTCCAAAAGTTAACTAGTTAGCCAGAAAAACCACTCTATTTGAAATCCACATAGAGCAAAGGTCAGAAGACAATGAACATATACATTCACTGTATCAAGGACAGCAGTAATATTCTTCACCAAATGAACTGCCTATGTGAAAAATGTTAAGAAACTGCCTCCAACTATTAGTCTTGTTAATTTCTACGTGTCCAAGCTCTTATAACACAGCATATTCTTTTTCCTTGCCCGCCCAACTCGAAAGAATTATCACCAGAGAGACAAGAGAATCGACTCTGCTCTGAAGGTTTTCCATTGAAGTTTTTGAGTAACTTTTTATCAGAACACTTTTGAGTAATAAACCATATTCATATAGTGATGGTAGCAACCTAATGTGCCAATGGTCTGCAATGCAAAAGAGACAGAAAAAAAAAGCTGTAACTGTAGCACAAGCCAAAATGTGAGGAATTATACTGAATAGCTCGGCCGGGTTTCTGTTCATATCCATGGCAGCTTACGTCACTGAAGTAATGGGAGCAGCAATGCCAAAGCCTGAAGGGATTGTAGGCTTACTTACCATGAAGAGGATCATGGCGACGATGGCCTGCACGAGCTGCTGCAGGAGCACGCCGCGCACGACGGCGGGGAGGGCGACGAGGTTCTTGTCCTCCTCCTCGGCCCGCGTGTGGAGCCTGTAGCGCTCGAGCGGGCGGCGGTGCAGGACGAGCTGGTAGCCGCCGGCGTAGACCCAGTAGAGCAGGATGGGCGCGAAGGTGCCCATGGTCTCGTCGCTCACGTAGCCTTCCCACGGCACCATCCCTGACCAACTTATCCTCCTCCTCCTCCTTCCCTTGTCGCCCTCGACAGCACGCAGGAGGAAGAAGAAGACGCGCAGCCAGACGCCAAGATTGGGTTTTGACGGCGGGGGAGCGCCCTCCTGACGGACTCGGCCTGTCGCCGCCGCCACGCAGATCTAGGGAACAGGGAACGGCCGGCCGTGTTCTTGTCCGCCTCGGATGGGGGGATTGGACGGGGCCAAAACGAAATGGCACGACGGAGGAGGGTACGGATTGTGCAGGGAGCACGGAGGGGAGAGGGAGAAGGAAGGATCAGCTGATGATTAGCAGAAGAATCAAAGAGGAGACCGGATGACAGGGAGGGAAGAGAAGACGACGCCGCCTTCGTCGCCTCTTCTCGTCGTCGAGAAAATTATTGCATGGAGGTGGATCTTTTATTTGCTCCCAATACATCGGCATGTCGATCTTTTTCCGAGCAAAGTAAGCGCCGAAGAGGAGACCTCGCCTCGTCTCGGGTCTAAGGGCATGTATAATGGTTGATAAGATAGTCTTATCTTAAGTTTTGCATGTAATTTAGAGATGACAAAAAGTATGTCTATAATGGGTTATATCTTAGCCTTATTTTTAATAACTAGCAATTTCTTAAAACATGGTGAGACAACTTGTGCTAAGAGATCATCTCTTGTCTTATCTTAAATAAGAGAAAACAAGTCTTTTCTTACGAGTTCTTTCTCCTCCACCTCATCATTTATCCTACGTAGCACTCCTAAGATAGCACCATTGTACATGCCCTAAGCTTGTCTAGAGTTAGTTAGGGGCTGTTTGGATTGTAACTATCTTTGCCTTATATTACCATATTATTTTTGTTACACTTGTCTTATTTAAGTTGTCCAAATTGTTAGTTGTATTTTGGTTTGCCTATAAAGGAATTTTGTCATACTTTTTGTGTCTATGACATGTGGGGTTCACTGCTTATTAAAATATTCTTTGCCTTAGATGTGACTAGAATCAAACACCCACCTAATTTAGTCAAACTTGCCTAAGGCTAGGCACAGTAAGGAGTAACTTAGACTAGTAGCATGCATATGTTACTAGTCTAATGTTACTACCTTTATAGTAGAGGGTAACATCTATGTGGTGTCATGTAACACTTTATTTATTAGGTTTATACACATCTTGCCTTGATATGTGTGATGTTACTCATACTATTAGACTACCCATAGTGGGAGTAACATAGGTAGTAACATCACACATATCAAGATAAAATAGATGATGTGGCAAGCAATAGATGAAGAAGACAAGGTGAGTCTACAAGCTATTAAATGAAGCCAAATATGACACTGCTTCTATATTACTTTGCACTATGAAGGTTGTAACTTAAACTAGCGTCATTGACACTAGTATAAGTTACTCTCCACTATGACCAGCCTTGGTAGCTAGCTATGTTACCACATGCATTTTTTTCTTCATTAAATGCTTGTCACATCATCTATTTTATCTGAAGATGTATGATGTTACCACCTATATTACTTCCACTATGAGTAGTCTAACGTGAGATGTGGTAAGATGTGACTGGACTGTCATTGACAACTATAATTAGCTTTGTACTCCCTCCGTTCTATATCGCAGGTATGGATGTATCTAGATGTATTTTAGTTTTATATACATCCATTTCTGCGATGAGTAATTTGGAACGGATGGAGTACTTTTGATGAACTTTTGATAATAAATGCTTGTGATTCGGACAAGATTCTTGTGAAATCTATGTGTTTGTACCTCCAAATGGGAACCGATATGACGCGTCTGACCTATCAGAGACGGATCAACGGTGCCATGTCAAATCAACTGCTCCGGACCCCGCAAAAAAAAAGAAACTACTCCGGTTAGTGGACTCTCCGAGATCACAGGACGCATCGACAGATAAAGCCACATTCTCACAGGTACATAAGGAAGCAGCATCAAACGAAATGGAGATCTACACGTCCCAATCATTGATACTAGCGAACATGCGTACACCCACAACTTGACAAGGCACCGTCACATGCTTGTATCAGAACAGCGATGCCCGCCCCGTACAAAGGATGCTGCCAGATGGTCAAGGATCATAATGCAGGTCGACTAACAGCCAAACGATACGGGATCTGGTAATAGTAATGGCAATGGCAACCACTACACCTGCCATGTTATCCTCAAGTTTTTGTCCATCATTGACAAAGCAATGAGCAGTCCCATCATCGGGGAGATCGGAAACGGAAATGATAAACTAACCAAACTGAAACACTTGCCAGGCTATAAGAACATCTCGTCAAGATAGATAAGCATCTTTCCATGTGTTCAGCGGTTGCGGCATGACAGGCATCAGTCACAAACTCACAATTACATATGGCTACTTGGCACAAGCTAACAAATAAAAAACTGTCCACATTTTGTCTTGTGATCGAAACCGGATTTTTATGCAAACAGCAGCCCAACAATGGGCATCAGAGCTAGCAAAAGGAACAAGGGCCCAAATGTAGCTGCTTCTCAAAAAGTTCCATAGCTGAGAACTCCTTCCTGGTCCGCAAAACAGAATCACTCGCCCCACGGTGTGTAGCTTATATTTTCTTAATGATCTGAACAACGTCCTCGTCCTCAAGCTCATGCTCCTGCAGAGATCTTGCGGATTAGTGCTAGAAAGAACACAATGTACAGCACGACAGTGGCTGAAGAATGCGTACCTTGCCGACTCTCTGAGGCTTATGCTTCACACTAGAACCCCACACCAGTGCACTGCAAGTTTTACCGGTCAATTAGCCACACAGATTAATGGTTACAAGGAAGCAAATAAGCCGGGAGATGTGGCTGTACTCACTATTTAAACTGTTTCGCCATGTCCTTGTGGATTTGGTTGCAGAAGTCTTCCACTGTTTTCCTCTTGGATGATAAGATCACAGGATCCTCATAGTCTGGGTTCAGCCCTTTGGGTTTTGTGTATAGCCTGCACAAATCTAGGTATTCCCAGACCATCTCTAGAAGCCCATCAAGGTTCCATTCCAGATGTGCACTATCAGCAGGTAACAGAAAGAAGAAAGTGCTTTAATTGCCAAGGAAAAATAGATAAGAGAAACCACACATATCAAGAAGCCAAGTAAAGACTCACCTAATTGGGCAGTAATGGGGAAGTTTGTCCAAGATATCCAGCTCTTCAACTGTGATCTGGTCGATTTTGTTGACGACATAGATGCAAGGCATGTAGATTCTACTTCCCTCAATGACATCTATAAGGTCATCTGCTGTTGCATCAAATCTCAGGGAGACATCAGCATTATGAATCCTGTACTCACTACAGATTGCTTTTACTGTGTCAAGGTCCAAGTGTGTGTTCGCTACTGTTGATGTAAAATTGATGCCACCCTTTTCCTTTCTCCTGAATGTCATATTGGGAGGTGTCTTGTTCAACCTAATACATGGAAAGCTCATACAGGTTAAACATCAACCTCGTCTCAACAGCCAAGACATTCAGAGATGAAATCATTTCATCGGAAACAAACTGAGCAGGTGGCAAAGAAGTAAAGGGAAGAATGCGGTCCACCATGGAACACCTTAGTACAATGCTGTTTGAGAAAGAAACACCATACAAGAACAAATATTATCACATACAGAATCTGGAATTGCCAATGCCCAGTGGACATGGTTGTCACTAATGTAACTGGATAATGCCCAGTGTTCAAGAAAGCGTTTTTAGGTGGCGCTTAATCGCGCTTAAGCTGAGCGACAGCTAAACGCTTCGCTTCTGCCCTAGGCGCAACTTTTAGCGTTGAGCGAAAAAAGCGAGATTTAGTAACCGTTTTAGCGCTAAGCGTTGGTTAAGTGAGCGCTATGCGTGCTTAAGCGATAACAAAGGCCTGGCCCAAAACTGGCCTGTTCGGCTAGGGTTACTCAGTTAGAATGGGTGAGAAGAGAGCTCCAGTGGCGGCGGCAGCTCCTCCTCCTCCTGGAGGTTCACCCTACTGGATCTGAACGCCGACAGCTCCTCCTCCTCTTGGACGTCCACCCCTACAGTTTCAGGTGAGGATCTCGTCCTCTCCTCTCCTCCTCTGATCCATTGTCCATAGACCTCCATGATGAAGAGTTCGAGTCCGACGAAGAAGAACTATAGGAGACAGATTCAGAGGAGGAGATAGAGTATGAGGATGATGAAGATGAACTGGTGATTGGAAGCACTTATGTGGATGAGGATTGATCCATGAAGGCATGTACTGCTGCTTGAGCAGCTACTGCTTGCGCTGGGGCTGCTGCTTGGCTGCTTGAGCTGCTGCCATTTATCTTGTATGCTATTAAGACATTATTATGCATTTATGCTTGCTGTGTGAACCACTAAACCTTATACTTATATGCTATTTCAGACTTTCAGTTATCTATATGTGCTATGTTCCCTATTTTCTTATGCATATTATTCAAAAACAGCCAAATTCTGGCTAATTTAAAAAACGCTTAATCCCGATTAAGCTGCGCTTAAGCGGCCATTGCTCTAAGCTGCGGCCTTCCGCTCTGCTTATGCTTACCACTTTTTTGAAGATTGATAATGCCAAATCCACAGCAAAGCTAAACAAAACCATTTAGCTCACTGACAACAATTCCAGCATGGAAGAGCAAGACAACAAGTGCTGAAGATGGTATCAACATAGAGACTTACCGGATGCCAAATCCCTCAAGCTCTTTCTCAATGAGACGTTTGTGAGTTATTGGTTTTATGGCGTCAAGAACAATCAGAATGACATTACATGTCCTGGCTGTACTGATGACCTGAAAATCGTATCAATCATTAAGCCAAGGAGACATGACATATAACTCATGATCAGAATAGGGAATGGTTCAGGAAATTCTTATCCTGAAGTGTGCATAAATTGTAATGGATAAAAGAATAAATTATAACACAGGGACAAACCCCTTTGTGGTAATATAAAGCTTAGTATTTTACAGTATTGAAAAGCATATGAATTTGCATGAAATTACTTCCAAAGTTGGTAAGTAGAACATGCAGGAAACTTAATAGTCAACAAATTACATGACTCTGAAAAGGTGCAACACAAATGAAATTACTTTTTGCCATCTCAAGGAAGATTTTAAAGAATATCCAGGTAACTTCCCTGAAATATCCAGTAACAATGTGCTTTATGAGCTAGAAAGAAAAAAAAAACAATAGTGATTGCTACAATACAATTAGTATGATTTATATGGTGCACTATAGCCAGTTTTTTTCCCTAAAAATAAATATTATCCGGAGGGAGTGACAATGCATTTTTGTACACACGTGCATACTGCCGCCACCAATGATTAATATAATAGGTGGGTGCTCAGATGATTCGCACAAAAGATGGTTTCTAAATGTTCACGAAAGTATTAAACTAAAAGTGCAATTAGAACTTGTAAATAATATAACTATTCATGTATGATACATCATGACATGTTTGTTGAGACCATGCGTGATGCGTCCATGTATATTAACTGGACTGCAAAAATAGAGCAAAAGTTGGACATATTTTACCTGCCTCCCTCTACCCTTTCCATCTTTAGCACCTTCAATGATTCCCGGAAGATCTAGAAGCTGAATAACAAGTAGTGCCTATTACAAACAAAGAACAAATATTCTCTGGCAACAAAAGCCAACTCGTAGCTTCCTTTGAAAGTGAAAAAATACCTGTACTTTAGCTCCTTTGTACATAATAACTCCAGGAATACATGTTAAAGTTGTAAACTCATAGGACGCAACCTTTTGAATCATATAAGGAACAGAAAGAATGTGTTACTATATCAGCATTGAAACTAACATGATAGTCCAGAAAAGTGTAAAAAAAACATTAGTACAGCAAGAGCAGACCTCTGAAAAAGTTCCCGTCAGCTTGTTCAACAATGTTGATTTCCCAACCGAAGGAAAGCCCACCAAACCAACACGTGCATCTCCACTTTTCGTCACGTCAAACCCCTCACCAGCACCACCACCACCTTTGGTTGTAGGAGTGAGCAACTCTCGCCGTAATTTTGCAAGTTTAGCCTGACCAAAGGAATATTTATTTTTATAAAAGTAGCAATAATAGCTTAAACATACAGAGATGCTTGTAACCATCAATCCTACAGAAGAACAATGATTCAACTAGCTGATGGAATGGAGCTTGAGACCCCGTTTCAAGCACATCTCAACCCTACATGCAAGATCTTACATCGTGCAGCATATAACCACAGTAATGCATTGACCTGGCCCTCATTCGACAATTATGCATCAAAGATCCAAGCACAACAGAGGGAACCATGCTATCAGATTTGATAAAAGTCAATCTCTACACACTGTCAAGCCAATGATCCAGATTAAAACTGACAGCACCGCCATATGGTTGGACATGAAGTAAGGCAAGTTATATGCAAGCAACAGCAGCACATACATTTAGGCATCAGCTTTTGTGAAATAGCTAAACTGTCTGTAAGCTAGTTCTTCGGAGTCCTAGATATAGCATGATATATGATGAAATGGATCCAGTTAATTGAGATAAATGGATAGGAGCTTCAAATCACCTTCAGAAGACCAAGATGGTGTGCAGTGGCTTTGTTTTTCTGCGTCTTTGACATCTGTCAAGTAAAACAGAAGCAAAGAACATAAGCACAGGGTTCAGAAAGTGGATAAATCTGGGCATTTGGCCAACTATCTGAAACGTTCATGCACACTTGTCCAATCCTTCCAGAGTAGCAAGAGCATTATGCATATATAAGTAACATTTTCAGGGTCTCACTACTTCACAACAATTTAATTATTGTCAAATGTTAATCACAAACCAAAACACCAACGTATCATCTGACTCCAGAATCATATTAGTGTCCAATTAAGTACCACTTGACTAAATCATCACTATGACATACAATATGCGGGTGAACAGTTACAACTATCAAATCACAAACAGGCAGATGAATTAGTAAGTGAATTGCCATTGAACCCCGCCACTCCAGTATAAACCACAACTAGCCAATTTAATATCCTCTGCACCAGTTTCCGAGCATCTTTGATCATGACTTGCGAGCAAAACAAATGCTCCTTCTCACATAACATTACAGCTAACACCTGAGCGCCCATTTATATCAACTAAGCCCCGTTTGATAAGACACGCTTAATCAGGCATATATATGGTAAAAAGCTATCAGCAACCTAAAGGCCAGTATTTTATTAACTTATATTTATTGCAAAACAACAAAATGCATCACAATTCAAAGATTTTTTTTATCCAAATCATGTCAGTCCATGACCAAAAGGTGAAGACCAGCGACGGAGAGACCAAATGCCACCAAAGCTTCAATAGCCCTCAACTAAGCATATGTCTAGAATCTATGGGTATCCTATCAAATCAGGTGTAGCAACAGGTAGGCGCAGCTCCACCACATGAAACATGTAGCAAAGCGAGCTGAAAACAAACAGTTCTAAATCAACACTGTAAGAAGAACAAAAAACTAAGCCACTGCTACTGCTACTTCTAAACCTAACATGCCCCCCAAATCCAATCTGCCTACCTACAGCTCAAACCGCACAAGCAGTGAGCCACGGCGAACCAGCACCGAACAATTTCAATTCGAAACTAAGCAAAGCCCGCACGGAGTACAGCTCTAGCACTACTAATCGCAGGAGTCAAATCCATCCGCCGTCGCGGCGGGTCGCTGGAGGGCCGGAGGCCACGGTCGAGTAAGTACCTCGTCCTCGATGTCCTTGATCTTCTGCATGACGGTCGCCATGGCTGCGGGCCGCGGAAGGGGGTCGGAGCCGGAGGGTTGTAGAAGTGTCGCCTGCTCTTCACCGGCGCGGCTTCGCTCGCGTGGATGCGGAAGGGGGGTCGGGGGAGAGGAGAATGTTCGCGAAGTGGCTTCTGAGGGTTTTGGTTCGGAGGCGGCGGAGCGGGCCACGACTCTCCATGGGCTTATTTGCAAAACGGGCCTTCGGGAATGGAGAAAAGGGCTGGGCCTCAGTTTGCTGTTTCGTTTGCCACAAGGGCCCAAAACAGCAAAAGTTGAGGGGAAAAAAAGGACCGGATTATATGTTCGGGGCATTGAACCCGACGTGAATCGAACACGCAACCTTCTGATCTGGAGTCAGACGCGCTACCATTGCGCCACGGATCCGGTGATGATACGAGCGGCACTTTATTCTATGAGTACGCAGCGGTATAACGGCTGCCTCCATCGTGGCACCTGAACGAGGCAGGCAGCATGAATAAGATCCTGACCTAACTGCTCGTCCCTTGCCCACAATCAACGGAAGGTGACACGAGTTACTTGCGTAGCACCGCACTAGATGCCGAGCGGCCGATGCTCTGAGCTGGTCATGCACCGCAAAGATATCCGGCTGTACTTCGGGTGTGTTTGGTAGTATGTATGGACCTAGTCTAGTTGTTCTCATGTCATACATGCTGAGTCCATGCAGTTGCTGTTGTTTGGCAGTGATGTATGCATTGAGACATGCTGAACTGAGATTTTGTTTGGTAGCCTGCATGTGTTTAGACATGCTGAACAATTTTGAATTCTGAATATATTTTTTGAATGATGAACAAAATTGAAAAAATCTCAACACAAATTTAAACATATTTTGAAAATTTAAATAAAATTTGATATTCTAAACTTTTTTGGAAAATTAAAATAAATTTTGAAATTCTTTTTTTAATTTGAACATATTTAAAATTACGAGTTTTTTTTTAAAATTTAAACAAAATTTGAAAATTTTATAAAAAAATAAAATTCTATTTTTTTCAAAATTCAAACAAATTTTGATTTCCTTTTGAAATTCCGAACATTTACGATTTTTTTAGAAAAATTGAAATTTCAAATATTTATTGAAAATTCAAACAAATTTTGAAATTGTGATTTTTTTGAAAATTTAAACAATTTTGAAATTCAAACTTTTCATTTTTTTCTGAAATTCTAAGGTTTTTCGAAAATTCAAAAACAAATTTTGAAATTATGATTCTTTTTGAAAAAATAAATATATCTGGACGTGGTCTGGTCGGTGGGGACAAGTGTCAGGGCCAGCATAGCTGCCTCGATGCACCCTGTCTGGGGTGCATGAGATGAGCATGGCTGAGTGCACTTTTATGCATCAGATGAGCATAGCTCAGATGAGCCCATGCACCCTACCAAACAAGCAAAAGTGAGTCGGATTGGGAACTTTTGCCCTCATGCACCCTCCATGCACCCTATCAAACACACCCTTCAGTTGTGCACGCAGGAAGGTGTACCCACCAGTCCGCGTCTCCGAACGGATGGGTTCAGCTTTGCTAAGAGCATCTCTAATAGACGGTCCATATGTAAAAATAACTAATTTTTGAAGCTTTGCATTAAAAAATGTTGCTTTAACAGATGGTTCATATATAAAAAAATTAGACCACCGCCTTCGGGAAATGTAAAATTGAAAACTTCATGATGCAAATTTACATCACGCGATACAACTGATATAAAACCACGGCCGCCCGCCAAATGACCAACCGCCACTTCGTTCCCCTTCCGCCTCGCGATCGCCCGCTCGCTCCTCGTCCGCCCCAGCTCTCCGACGCCGCCCCGCCGTAGATCCAGCCCCCATCGCCGATTCCACCCCACTGGACCGCCACCTGCCGCCGCGCCGCCCCATCGCGTCTGCATCCGCTCCGGCCGCCTCCGGCCCGCCCCGACCCCGTTCGTCTCCTCTCCGACCACCTCCGGTCCGTCCTCCGCCCGGCCCCGCTCCGTCCACCCGGCCCTGCTCCGTTCGCCTCCACCTCCGGTCCGTCCGCCGCCCCGCTCCGTCGGCCTCCGCCCCATGCCGCACGCCGCCGCCCCGACTCACTCCCCGATGGCGCCGAAGAAGACGCCGAAGGGCAAGTCCAATTTCTTCAGCGTGAGGGCGAAGCCCTCCGGGAACTTCGGAGTGGAGTTCTCCGACGCCGGGCGGCATTGGTGGCTCGACACGTATCCCACCCTGATGAGGCCGCGCGTGCCTACGACGTGGCAGTGTGGCGTGCCGGACGGCCGAAGACGGACCTCAACTTCCCGGAGACCGAGTCCCAGGCAGTGGCGAAGTGGCCCGTGCCGCAGGGCATCCGGATGGAGGAGATACCGGCAAAGAAGGCGAAGAAGAGATCGGCAGTTGTCGTCGCTCCCGGCGAGAGCGACGAGGCGGCGATGGCTCGGTTTGCGCGAGAGCATCCGCAGTACGTCCAGGCCGAGCTGGAGCACTACTGAAAGCACGGCGCTGAGGAAAAGAAGAAGGGGTGAAGAAGGAGGACGAGGTCGGCCCGTCGACTGTGATCCCTATCGAGTCGTCGGATGAGGACTGGGGTGACTTCGAGGAGGACGAGGGGTGCGATGACCCGACTAAGGACGAGTTCTGGGAGCAGTTCTGCAACTCCGACGATAAGGAGTAGTTTCATCTAGTAGTTCGAATAAGTAGTAGTTGAATTTGTGTATGAAACTATGTTGAATTTCATGTTTGAACTATGTTGAGATGAAGTAGTAGTTGGTCGTTTTAATCTTTGTTTTGGATCATCTGTTGGAGTTGCTCTTTTATTTACATCTTCGTTTTGGATTATCTGTTGGAGTTGAGCCTTTTTGAAGATGTAAAAAGCATTTTTTGGTGCTCCAAATTTGAACCATCACCGTTTTAGAGCACCAAAATATACATCATCTATTGAAGATGCTCTAAGCAATGTGTTAAGTTCTTTCCTTAGTCTTAGGCTAGCGGTATAATCTTACATTCTTAAGAAGTTGATCCCCACTACTAGCTATTCTCGCTAATGCGCACTATCCACATCAGCGTTTAGTTTTTTACTTTGTAAACACCAACCAATCGTCCTCTTTATAGGTGCCTACATGTACATTCCATTTGCCTCTCAGTTGTAAGTTGTAAGTTGTAACACGTCATCATTTTTTCCAGAGAAACCTAAAAGATCGTGGATGTCACCTAGAGGGGGGGTGAATAGGCTCTTTAAAATAATTACGATTTAGGCTTGAACAAATGCGGAATAAACCTAGCGGTTAATTTGTCAAGCACCAAACCTACAACAATTAGGCTCACCTATGTGCACCAATAACTTATGCTAAGCAATATAAACTACTAGGTGATAG